TGGTATAAATATGTACTATGGTGGTATAAATGGGTACTGCGATGGTATGAATAGGTACTGTGATGGTATAAATAGGTACTGTGATGGTATGAATAGGTACTGATGGTATGAATAGGTACTGTGATGGTATGAATAGGTACTGTGATGGTATAAATAGGTACTGTGATGGTATGAATAGGTACTGTGATGGTATAAATAGGTACTGTGATGGTATGAATAGGTACTGTGGATGGTATAAATAGGTACTGTGATGGTATGAATAGGTACTGTGATGGTATAAATAGGTACTGTGATGGTATGAATAGGTACTGTGATGGTATAAATAGGTACTGTGATGGTATGAATAGGTACTGTGATGGTATGAATAGGTACTGTGATGGTATGAATAGGTACTGTGATGGTATGAATAGGTACTGTGATGGTATAAATAGGTATTGTGATGGTATAAATAGGTACTGTGGTGGTACCAATAGGTATTGTGGTGGTAAGAATAGGTACTATGGTGCTATGAATAGGTACTGTGATGGTATGAATAGGTACTGTGATGGTATGAATAGGTACTGTGATGGTATGAATAGGTACTGTGGTGGTATGAATAGGTACTGTGATGGTATGAATAGGTACTGTGATGGTATCCGAATAGGTACTGTGATGGTATGAATAGGTACTGTGATGGTATAAATAGGTATTGTGATGGTATAAATAGGTACTGTGGTGGTACCAATAGGTATTGTGGTGGTAAGAATAGGTACTATGGTGCTATGAATAGGTACTGTGATGGTATGAATAGGTACTGTGATGGTATGAATTGGTACTGTGATGGTATAAATAGGTATTGTGATGGTATAAATAGGTACTGTGGTGGTACCAAAAGGTATTGTGATGGTATAAATAGGTATTGTGATGGTATAAATAGGTACTGTGATGGTATAAATAGGTACTATGATGGTATAAATAGGTACTGTGATGGTACCAATAGGTACTGTGGTGGTATGAATAGGTACTGTGATGGTATGAATAGGTACTGTGATGGTATGAATAGGTACTGTGGTGGTATAAATAGGTACTGTGATGGTATAAATAGGTATTGTGATGGTATGAATAGGTACTGTGATGGTATAAATAGGTACTGTGATGGTATAAATAGGTACTGTGATGGTATGAATAGGTACTGTGGTGGTATCAATAGGTATTGTGATGGTATGAATAGGTACTGTGATGGTATAAATAGGTACTGTGATGGTATAAATAGGTACTGTGATGATATTATTAGGTACTGTGATGTATGAATAGGTACTGTGATGGTATGAATAGGTACTGTGGTGGTACCAATAGGTATTGTGATGGTATGAATAGGTACTGTGGTGGTATAAATAGGTACTATGATGGTATAAATAGGTACTGTGATGGTGTGAATAGGTACTGTGATGGTATAAATAGGTACTGTGATGGTATGAATAGGTACTGTGATGGTATGAATAGGTATTGTGATGGTATGAATAGGTACTGTGGTGGTATAAATAGGTACTGTGGTGGTATAAATAGGTACTG